GGTACCCTTTTTTATGTGGGCAACGTTTGCATAGAACTCTTTGACAAGGTAATCATTAGCATCCAAAACTTTTTTGGTGAAGAATTTCCACCTTTTTTCTCTCCTCAAACTGCCTTTTGACATTTGGATTGTAAGGAAGGAGGTCTCTCTATATGAACCCTCTCTCAAGGGTGAGCGATCTTTGGGGCCACCATTCTCGGAACTTCAGATAAGCCATTTCACTCACAAATCTATTGGCCAACACCTCGAGCTTTCTGGACCTGGCCAACCCCCCAACATTGGTGTCACCCCCTCTCCTGTCATCCGGGACCTCATCACCATCATCAACAGTAATAGGTGCAGCTAGTGAAGCTGAAGTTGTAGCAGGTGGGGAAGATGGTGTCGAAGCCTCACTAGCTCCCTTTAAGCCATCAGATGACTCAGGAGAGAAGGTAGGTTCATCTAGTAACTGGAGTCTCTCCGGGAAAATTATGGGGACATGTGTTGGCACAGAGTCTCCTTCCGAGGCTTCCTGGGAAGGGACATACTCACTGATGTTTAAATGGTCTGCTGCTCTATCTGCAGCTTTGATGGAGGCTCTTAACTTCCCAATCGACTTTTGCACTGATCTTAGTCTTTCCTTTACCCCTGCCTCGGGAGGGTTCTGCTCTCCCTTTAGATGTATCACTTCTTCCTATAGAATGGACCATTGTCTGCAACATACAAGCAATTATAAAGTCAGAAAAAAGCTTCAAGCATATGTTAAAACAGTGCAGATGAAATGTAAATACTGCTTCTTAGAATAAGGCACCGCGGACCAAGAAAAAATGATCGCAGACCGTGAATAAATGAACGCGACCGCAAAGAGGTTAGGTTTAGAATGCTAACTCTCTTATCTTGGTCGAATGTGGATGACAAAATAATGAAGGCGAATGCAAAAGACCAAACGCGGGCCACGTAAAACTGGACGCGGACGTGAAGAACCAACTGCGGACCGCGTAAAAGTGACCGTGGCCACGAACTCTCATCAATACTCAGTAGTTAAAAGTTAGGGTCTCACGAACCTCAAAAAAATAAATGTGGTCGCATACCCTAATGTGGGCTGTGGAAAACTGATCGCGGTAGTGAAATTCAGACACGACTGATATTGATCAACACATTAACTAGAGTTTTTCACTAAATGTGCAAAAATCCTTTCAATTAGCATTCAAGGTTACTAACCATATCCCCCATTAGGCATGTAAACATTACCCACATGTATTTAAGCAATAATTTTAGATTATGGCATGTATTTAACTCTAACTAAAAACTAAAAAGAAAAATTAAAACAAAAAGAAAAAAAGAAACAGATAAAATCAATTCAAGGATTTGAACATACCAGTTGCGAAATTTTAGTAGGAAAAGATCTCTTGATTAGAAAGAGAAGAGATTGAGAGCCAGAGAAGATAAATAGTACTTTTGTGCAGTGAAACTTTAGGTTTCGAAAAGTGTAAATGGCTTAAGGACCCCCTATTTATACTTAGCAGATGTGGAATCCACTGCCTTACCTGAGCGCGACCACAAAATTCAATCACGATCCACATTTTTGTTACCTGATGAAGAATAGCCTCACACATAGGCGCGGTACGCGGAATAATGGACGTGGTCGCGAAATTCACAGCGGACCGCCAAAATATGTACGCGGTCGCGAACTATGAAGGATATTTGACAGTCCAACTTTAGAGAGTTGGCATTTTGCACTTTTCAATTATGCGTCCGTGGACAAAAAGGTGCGGCCGCAAAATGCTCATGCGGATCGCGAAATGTTGGGCGCGGTCCGCAAACTTCCAACACTTAGCCAAATATTTGCTGTTAATTTTCTGCACTGCACAACCAATTCCTACATACACTTCACAGCCAGTTAGTCCAAAACAATGCTTAATCTAAGAAGAAAATCAAAAGAAAGAAAAACACATGGGTTGCCTCCCAAGAAGCACTTGATTTAATGTCGTGGCATGACGCATGTTACCATCATTCACTTGAAATGAATCAATGCCACAATGTGGCCATCATCAACTTTACCAAGGTGGTGCTTCACTCGATGCCAATTGACTCTAAAGATATCACCATTCTTGTTTTTCAAATCTAGAGCACCAAAAGGAGTTACATGCATCACTTCAAAGGGACCGCTCCATTTTAACTTTAGCTTTCCCAGAAACATATGTAACCGAGAGTTGAATAAGAGAACAAGGTCACCTTCTTTGAATTCTTTATTCCTGATATACTTATCACGTAGGTACTTCATCTTGTCTTTATACAATGACAAACTGGAGTAAGCATGGAAACGGAACTCATCAAGTTCATTCAATTGCTCCACCCAAATATTGGCAGCTACATCCCACTCTAGGTTCAACTTCTTCAATGCCCACATGGCCTTATGCTCTAATTCCACCGAGAGGTGACATGCTATACCAAATACCAACTGATATGGAGACATACCAATTGGAGTCTTGTAAGCTATTCTATAGGCCCATAAAGCATTGTCAAGTTTCCTTGACCAATCAGTTCGATTTGCATTGACAGTCTTGGATAGAATACTCCTGATCTCCCTATTGGAGACCTCAACCTGTCCATTTTCCTAGGGGTGATAGGAAGTTGACACCTTGTGAGTGACACCATACTTGGAGAGTAAAGTGTTAATCTTTGTTGCAAAAATAAGAACCCCCCAGCACTAATGATGGCCCTTGGGGTGCCGAACCTTGTGAATATGTTTTTCTCCAAGAAGGCCACCACACTCCGTATTTCATTGTTGGGAAATGCCACAACTTTAACCTACTTGGAGACACAATCCACAACAACAAGAATATAAGTGCTCCCACATGAACTCACAAATGGACCCATAAAGCTGATACCCCACACATCGAAAATGTCGATCTCAAGAATGGTAGTGAGAGGCATCTCATTCTTCTTGGAAATCCCATCGGCTATTTGGCACTCATCACACTGCTTGACAAGCTCGCTAGCATCTTTGTACAAGGTAGGCCAATAGAATCCATAGCTTAGGACCTTTGTAGCAGTTCTCGCCCCACCATGGTGACCACCGTAGTTCGAAGAATGACAAGCTTCAAGAATACCCAATTGCTCTTCTTATGGAACACATCTTCGGATAACACCATCGGTGCAAATTTTGAAAAGATATGGCTCGTCCCAATAATAATCCAAGCAGTCCCATTTGAGCTTCTTCCTTTGGTTTGAAGAGAACTCATTCATGAAAATTCCACTCACAAGATAGTTAGCCACATCGGTAAACAAAGGCATCCCAGTCAAAGACATGAAAAAGAGTTGTTCATCCGGAAATGAATCATTGATCTCAAGGCCATCATGGGGCCTCCCCTCCTATTCCAAACGGGACATGTGGTCCGCCACTTGATTCTCGCTCCCTTTTGGTCTGTGATTTCAAGATGAAACTCTTGTAGAAGAAGTACCTACCTCATCAATCTAGCCTTTGAGTCCTTTTTACTCATAAAATAGCAAAGCGTCGTGTGATTGGTGTGAACAATCACTTTGGTACCCATGAGGTACGGACAGAACTTTTCCATAGCAAAGATAATGGCTAAGAGTTCTTTCTCGGTCACCGTATAGTTGACTTGGGCGTCGTTCATGGTATTACTAGCATAGTATACCAGGTGGAATATCTTGTTGATTCTTTGCCCCAATACCGCTCCTATCATCACATCGCTAGCATCACACATGAGCTCTAGTGGTAAGCTCCAATTTGGTGCGGTAATGATGGGAGTGGTAGTCAACCTATACTTGAGTAGCTCAAAAGCCTTCATGCAATCATCGTTGAACACAAATTTTGCATATTTTTCCAACAACTTGCACAAGGGGTTCACCACCTTTGAGAAATTCTTGATGAACCAACGGTAAAACCCCGCATGCCCTAGAAAGCTCCTCACTCCTTTAACGGAAGTAGAAGGAGGGAGTTTTGATATCACTTCAATCTTTGCTTTATCCACTTCAATACCATTCTTGGAGATCTTATGGCCGAGGATAATGCCTTCCTCTACCATAAAGTGACACTTCTCCCAATTAAGCACCAAGTTAGTCTCTTCACAACGTGCCAAGACTTTATCAAGTTTACCCAAACACTCATCAAAAGAATCCCCCACAATAGTGAAATCATCCATGAACACCTCGAGGAAGTCCTCCACCATATCTATGAATATTGCCATCATACACCACTTAAAAGTAGCCGGTGCATTACATAGACCAAACGGCATCCTTGAGAATGCAAATATGCCATACGGACAAGTGAAGGTGGTCTTCTCTTGGTCTTCAGGTGCAATAAGAATCTGGTTATACTCGAAATACCCATCCAAGAAGCAATAATAAGCACGTTCGTCTAACCTATCCAACATTTGATCAAGGAATGGAAGCGGAAAATGGTCTTTCCGAGTCACTTTGTTGAGCTTCCTATAATCCATGCATACCCTCCAACCGATGATAGTTCTTGTGGGAATCAACTCATTGTTGTCATTTGTAATCACAGTCATGCCCCCCTTCTTTGGGACACATTGTACCGGCAAAGTCCATGAGCTATCAGAAATGGGATAGACAACCTCATCATCCAACCACTTGATAAACTCTTTCTTAACAACCTCTTGCATGTCCTCATTCAAACTTCTTTGATATTCCACGGAGGGTTTGGCATCCTCCTCCAATATCATTTTGTGCATGCAAAAGGCGAGGATTATACCCCAAATATCCAGCAATGTCCAACCTATTGATTTCTTCCTCCTTTGGAGCACCGCAAGGGTAGCATCTACCTGTATGTTAGTTAAGCACGAGGAAAGAATAACAGGTAAAGTGGAACAAGGGCCTAGGAACTCATACCTGAGGTGTAAAGGCAAAGGCTTCAACTCCAATATGGGAGGCTCCTTGATTGAGGGCTTTGTTGGTAGAGTCTTCCGGTTCTCAAGGTCCAAGGAAAGTTTTTGGGGCTCATATGTATATGAACCCATTCCTTGCAAAGCATTAACTTATTCAACCAAGCCATCCTTCTCATCCAAATCATGATTCAACAACACAACTTCCAAAGGGTCTTCCACATTAATCACAACATTGGTGTGTTCAACAATCACCTTGATCACAAGATCCACAAACGAACACACTTCGTTGCTATTAGGCTGCCTCATTGACTTACAAACATGGAACACAACTTTTTCATCGCCCACCCGGAAGGTGAGCTCCCCTGCTTCCACATTAACTAAAGCCTTCCCTGTGGCTAGTAAAGGTCTCCTCAATATGATCGGCACCTCGTAGTCAACCTCACAGTCAAGTATCACAAAATCTGCGGGAAGTATGAACTTGCCGACCCGAACTAGCAAATCATCAATTATCATCAGCGGCCTCTTAATTGTCCTATCCGCCATTTTCAATCTCATGGATGTGGGCCTTGGTTTCCCATTCCCCAATGTCTTGAACACAGAATATGGCATCAAGTTAATGCTTGCCTTTAAATCACACAAAGCTTTGGCGAAATCGGCACTACTAATAGTGCATGGAATTGTAAAGGCACCGGGGTCTTCTAACTTTGGAGCCTAGGAGTGCACAATAGCACTCACTTGATGTGCCATTTTGATCGTTTCATAGTTCATTGATCTCTTCTTTGTTACCAAGTCCTTCATGAACTTGGCATATCCTGGCATTTGTTCTAGAGCTTTAACCAAAGGCACATTTATGGACAAACTTTTCTTCATACTAATAAATTTCTTGAACCGGTGCTCATTGTTTTATTTTGTTTTGCTACCCTTTGTGGATATGGTGGAGAAGGCCTTGGTAAATGATCCTTGGCTTTGGACACCATTGTTTCCGGTATGTCTATCACGTGTTCCCTAGACGGGTTCACATCATTTTGTGTCTCCTCCATGTTGTCATCAATGTCTATCCTCACTTCATCATTCACAATCTCATCATTCACTTGCACCAACACATTATCACTCACAACATTTCTTGGATTAGAGTTACTTGTAACTCCACCTCTACCACTTCTTATAGTCACCGCCATAGCATGGCCCGTATTGTTCCCACCCTTCGAGTTTACTACTGTATCACTTGGTAGTGCCCCTTAGGGTGAGTATTCAAAGCTTGAGAAATTTGGCCAAGTTGGACTTCCATGTTGCGGATAGAAGTGTTGTGGGAGGCCAATAGGGCATCAAAGTTGGTATTTTTCTTCATCATTTGCTCAAACATTGTCTCTATCCGTCCCATCTCATTATTGGAAGAGTTAGGACCTTGTGATGTATATGGAGGGGGGTTGTTTGGTTGTCGATACATCGGAGGCCTGTGAAAGCCCGGCCCCCGATTCCATTAATTATTGTTGTTCCAACCCTCTTGATTGTTATTGCCTCCCCAATTACTATTGTTGTTGCCACCCCAATTGCCTTGGTTTCCTTGGTTGCCCCAATTTTGATTGTTGTTGTTCCCCCAGTTGCTTTGGTTGTTGTTGTTGCCACTTTTCGAATTTCGTTGTTGACCTTGATTTCCCCAATTCCCTTGTGATCTCTGATAACTAGGGATTCTAGCCTATTTTATGCTCCTTTTTGCTTGAGTTTTGGATTAAAAGTGTGTACAAGTAATCCCAAAAGCTAACTCGTTGAGCTTGTTTGTAGTGTTTGGTCATAAAGAGACAAGGATGTCATAACCAGCTCAAAAAGGAGTGAAATCTGCACAAGTTCAAAGCCAAGTCAAAGCAGCGCTACAGCGAAAAACCAACCGCGGATGCAGAAGATCCACCACTTAGGCGGTCCTTTTATCCCGATCCGCGGTGTCATAGATTCAAAGAGATGCAATTTTTTGGATTTCAAGTCACCGCTGACTACGGTGTTTTTGTGCTGTATCGGTGCCTCTACCGCGACAGTGGTGCTTTTACCACAGTCCGCGAAGGAGAGTTTCAGAGAGTCTAAAGTTGAGCTGCAAGTTGAAGATTGTTGTCCGCGGTAGCCTCACCACTGCAACGATCCATTTTCCGTTGTCAGCGGTACCTCCGTCAGGGGCATTTTTGTCCGGAAAATTTAGCTGTGTATAAATACTTGTTTTTCAAATTTTAGGTCATCTTATTAGTAGTGAGCATGTGAACGCCGTCTTTTAGCTATTTTGAGTAATTTTTTTAGCTTGTTTAGCAATTAATATTAGAATCTTATCTTGTAATTACAATTTATGGGTTATTCTTCATCTCAATCTATAATTTCTTCTTCAATTATGAGTAGTTAAACCCATTATCTAGGATTGTGGCTTAACCATATTTTGGGTATTTGATGGGTCTCTTATTTTAGGGCTTAGATGTTTATGGGTGATTGATATTTGGCCTGATTCATGCTTTCTATATTGAATTAGTGGTTGCAAACACTAATTTGTGCCTTTTTGACTTATGCTCTTCTTGAGAAAGAGAGCTTAAGTCTAGGAAATTCAGGCCAACAAGGAATTGGGGTGTGTTCAAGAGATTGATAGCCCCAATTAAAGGGTTAAACCTAGAGATAGTAATACCCGACTTGAGACAACATTGCTTGCACAAATTGAAAACCCAATTGGGCTTGAGAAATCCAATTAGGGCAAAGTCACTAAAATACCGAGAGGTATAGAGTGAGTAGTTTCGTGCATTGGCTATATCAAATCCCAACTATAACATTATTGTCCTAAGTTTGAGATCCCATTAGATACTCACATAGGAGTAAGTCACTTCCCTATTGCCTTTTTACCCATTTAGAAAACCCTAAAAAAATATCTACTTAGCTTAATTTCGTGCATCTTTAGTATTAAAATTAGAAATAACAAACAAACAAGAATTATTGAAAGTGCAATTAATAGAACTACACATTGCTAAATTATATAGGAATCCAACTCCAAACATTATTTTAGCTCCCTATGGATTCGATCCTGACCTTCTCGCATAAAAGCTGCATCGACCGCTCTCGCCACTCTATAGTGGTGTAGGGTAGGACCCGATCAATCTCCACTGTTGTTGATTCAGAGCATTTCCCCCTTAACTCGGATAATTTTTCACATATTGAACCTCTTCACTTTGATCATCATATGTATCATCTTGATTGTACCTGCTACCACTTTGCTCAAATTGGTCCGGATTGTTTTGAACTTGTTGACCTTGTTGCCTTCTCTTATTGATCATCACATTCACTCCTTCCATGGCATTCACTTGTTTTGGCCCTTGAACTTGTTGCAACTGAGCCTCGTCCAATTGGTTCATGGTAGTAGTCAACTCGGCTATTGCTTGGTCGTGGTCATGGAGCTCCTTGTTTAGGTGAATAACATTAGGATCACCTTGTGGCACATTAGCTCGACTTTTCCATGCCGAAGAGGTATCCACAATCTCATCAAGTATTTCACACTCTTCGGCATATGGCGTGTTCATGAAGTTTCCTCGGTGAGTTGGTTAACTACACACTGGTTCGTAGTGTTGATGTCGCGGTAGAATGTTTGTTCGATCATGGCTTCAGTCATATCATTACTTGGACAATCTTTAACCATCATCCGATACCTTTCCCAAATCTCATGAAGCGGTTCATTTAGCTCTTGTTTAAAAGCAAGAATCTCATCTCTTAGCATCGCCATATGTCCCGAAGAAAAGAACTTTACGATGAACTTCTCGACCAACTCATCCTAAGCGGTGATGGAATGGTTGGGCAACCTTTCTACCCAATCCAAAGCCTTCCCCTTAGAGAAAATGGGAAAAGCCTTAACTGCAATGCGTCCTCAGAAATGTTGGTTTGCTTGCTCCCCCAACACGTGTCACCAAAACCTTTGAGATGCTTGTAGGCATTTTTGTGTGGAGCTCCGATGAAGAAACCCCTCTGTTCTAATAGTGTAAGAGTGATATTGGTTATTTGGAAGTTGCGCGCCCTAATTCGGGGCGGGACTATTGTACTTGCATAGCCTTTGTTGGGCAACACCCAGTGTGCTGCTCTTGTTGGATGTGAGGGAGGGTTTGGAATATTATCATGAGGCGGTCGGCCTCTCCTTTGTGCTTGAGGTTCAGGTTGAATCTCATCCACATGATCATCATCTACCTCCTCCCCCAATGGCAAATTTCCAAGGGCTCCATTGTTAAGAGCCATTTGGTACCTAAGAGCAATTCACACACAAATTAGAAAAATGGAAGGACAGAAAAACAAAACACACAAATACTCAAATATATAGCTAAAATTGTTTAACTCCCTAATAACGGTGACAAAAATTGATCGGGTCCAAGCCTGCACTACTATTGAGTAGTGAGGATGGTCGATGCAGTTTTACCCAACAAGGTAGGGATCGAATCCACATGGAGTTAATTTGTTTAGAGTTAGGTTAATATCCAAGTAGAGATGTGCATTTTGCACTTAATTACACTTCCACATATGGTTGGTTGGTTTTCTACTTCTACATCTACTCTATAGCATGTAATATTTAAAACTAAGTACAATGTTTTTGTTGTTGATTTTCAAAGGTTTAAAGGGACTACGGTAGTGACTTATACATAGGTGGATATCTAACGGGTAGCAAGAATCTAGGGCAATCATATGATTAATTAGGGTCGTAATATAGCTATCACACTCGGGTACTCAGTCTATACCTCTTGGTAGTTTGAGTGATCTTGCCCAATTTGGCTTTCTCAAGTCCAAATGGGTATTCATGCAATACAAGTGATATTAGCTCAAGTCGGGTATTATTATCTCTAGGTTTAACCTTTTAATTGGGGCTATCAATTTCTTGAATTCACCCCAATTCCTCATTAGCCTAGTTTTCCTAGAGTTAGTTCCTCTTTCTCAAGTAGAGACTAAGTCATAAAGGCATAAATCAGTGTTTGCAACCACTAATTCAATAGTTCTAGCAAGAACTAGGCTAAATACTACTAAGCCATGCACATTCAAGCCCTAAAATTCAATACCCATCTAATACCCACATTAGGGTTGGGTCACAACCCTAGTTATGGGTTTTTCTACTCATGGAAATAACAGAAATCAAAGATGAAATTAAGATAAAATCCATAATACTAGATTAAAAGATGAAAAACTAATATTAAAAGTTAAATCTAATATAAAATTGCACAAAATAAAATATCCAGCCTTCTCACGTGCTCAGCAAAAAATAAAACTTAACCTAAAATTGACAAAACTGTCTATTTATACTTGGCTAAAATTTCCGAAAAAATAACCCTGCGAAAGTTTCGCGGCCGCGTAATTCTGACCGTGGTTGCACTCTTACTTTCGCGGTCCGCGTAATTTTGATTGCGGTCCGCGTTTCTTCAAATTTGGGGACTGGGTTAAACCTTGTTACGCGGACCGAATGTTCATCGCGTCCGCGTGAGAGCCTTCTGCGGCCGCGTAATTTTGATGCGGACCGCTCTTAACATTTTTGCATAACTTATGAGCTCTCTGAACCTTAGAAATTGCAGTCGCGAAATTCCAATCGCGGTCGCGGAGGTACTTTTGCGGCTGCCACTTTCTGATGCGGTCCGCATCCATGTCTGTGCCCAAAAACCACCTCTCTAATTCTACATTTCACGGTTCGTGAATTAATGACCATTTTCGCGTTGATACTTACGCGGCCGCACTTTTGTGTCGCGGTCCGCGTTCTACACCTCTTGGCCCCGTCTAAGTTTGACTCCTTTACGAGTTGATTATGGTTTCTTTGGCTCATTTTGACCAAACCCTGCAAGCAAGCACATTAAGTTAGTATCCGAGAATACCTTCACGCATTTTTGGCCAAAAACATAAATAAAAGAGAGCAAATAATAGGCTAAAATCCCCACTTATCAACATTACCGATGAAGATGTTACACCCCGCAATATTACGATAATGTTACGCCATGCAGTATTACATTTTATAGTATTAAGTTACGACGATGTTGCACCCTGTAGTATTGTACGTTGAATTTGTCGTAAGGTAATTGACATCAGTCCCAGTAAAAGATTATTTGGAAATTATAAGGATTATGCTATTTCACATGTGATGAGTAAATTCGTGAAGGTGAAACGGGAAGCAAGTCAAAGAAAATAAATTTTCGTCAAAGTT